AGCAGGACTTTTGCAAAACATACAGTTGCAGGTTTAGACCCCAGTAAATGGTACTGTCGTTATTATTTATACCATATCTACACTGTTGGACAATGTGATAGCCAAAATGAACAGATGCTTAGGAAATTATTCAGTGGCATATGGCTGACCTTGCCATCTCGTAGAAGGTTTTGAAACATTGCTTATATTTCTTTTTTTATATAATTACAGAAAACTATTTCATGTGTGTTCACGCTTGCTGAGAATAAGGAGGGGAATAAATCTGGATTACAGAGGAACCTGAATACAGTTTACAGCAACACTGCAGTTTAAATGGAATACCTTATCGTTTGACTTAAAATTACATTATTGTAACACTTCAGAGGCTTGAGTGAGCGATTACAGAAGTAATATTTCTGAAGCAATACAGAAACACAAACTCTTTCAGAAAAGTAAAACACAAACAAAACATAAAAGTGTTCCTGAAAATCTTGCCCTGAAAATATCACATATATTTTCAAACATCTCATGAAATCTGTTATTTCTTGTGCCTGAATTGAATCCCCTGTATCACCTTACATAATACAGCAAGTTTGACCAGACGAGAGAATGAATTTAACTTTAAACACAGATGTCATATTTAATGATGTGAACAAAAATTAGAAAATGTAGTACAAAAGTCTGTTCCAAGAAATGATGTTAACCACTGGTAGGCAGTTTTTTGACAGCCATAATTGTGTCTTCATGGACATTTGACAATGAATTACTTCTCAATCACAGAAATGCTACTATTTGTATACCAATTATCTTTGACTGATGGTCTTTATCATTAGCCGTTCAACATTATTTCTGCTCTCCTGTCAAGCTTTTGTCACTCAGTTAAACAGTAGATGCAGAGTCAGTAGATGCAGAGTTGTATTAACAAATTGAAACTAATAACAGTAATATTGGATATATAATGGGCTAAAACTTATTCACATAAACTGTGTGGATCTCTTCTTTAAAAACTAGCAGCACAGTTGAGGACTTTTTCTTAGTCTTACTACTTCTGTCTGAAAACTAACACATCCTCAAATGGTGATGAGTGAATACGAAATGTAAATGTTTCTAACTGTAGTGAGATCAAAGACC